ATATACATATATACATATGCATATACATATATATACATATATACATATGCATATACATTATAAGTTGTTCCAAGCGTAGCGAGAAATTGTGATTCGATAACGAATGATGGATTTTACAAGTTCAATCGTATAATTATGAAAGGTAAATAAATATTTGATGTACGAGTATACAGTTGATCACTGCAAATTGGGAATGTTGAGAGAGCCATTCGTTTGAAATTACACGCATTTCATTGTTTTATGTCCATATATCTTGCTAATATGCGGGTACTTTCGATAATTCTATCATTATGATGAAAGGGAAGATTTCAGTATTCCTGTAATACTTTGAGCGAATACTCGAAACATGCGCCACAGCGCTAATTGTCAATTCAAACGAATCGAAAATGTCTCTTTTTAACAACCTTTGCTACAAAATACCAATCATCTAATCATAAATTCACTGCAATTTTATTTTACTTCATTTTACAAATTGATTTTATCACTCAACCGCTCATTATTATTATAGGATGAGAGAATTCCATGAAAAAATTGTCATTTTTCTGGCGAATTAATGTTAATCGCCCAAACTGTAATAGTCGAAGCCTACGACGAGTGGCGAAACAATCAATATAATTAATTCGATAAAATTGTTTTCTTATTCGCTACGCTTGTAAGGATTGATTTTAGGGAAACCGTCTTGCTTACTAATTTTACGATTTAATTTATTCACAATGACGTTACAAAAGTATTCTTTGGTGCTCATGTGTGGCAAGAATGCGTGATATGTTTAGCGCTTATCAATCTTTGATATAAGTTGTTTCTTCGCTAAAAAGAGAGAGAGAGAGAGAGAGAGAGAGAGAGAGAGAGAGAGAGAGAAATGAACAGAAAAAATGTAATATTAGTCGACGAAAAAGATTATAGCGCGCTTATTTTTTTTTAATTACTAATTGAAATATACCAAAGACACGGCAGCGGTATTTTTTCGTAGCTGTCTAAAGAATGGAGCATAGTTTTGAACTTAGCGAAGGAAGTTTTTATAGGATTAAGAAGTTTCAAATTAATTTAAGTGTCGAATTTATCGAAAGTAACTTTTTATTTATGTATGTGAATTAGAAATATTGCAGTAGCCCCTGAGATGCGAGTGCCTTTGTATTTAAATTATATTCCTCACAGTTTCAATGTACTCAAGAGCATCTGTAAATAATTACATACTTTCAAATTAGCATTTCTTCATCATTCACGCTGTCGAGAAACTATTATTTAAATTGCTATTATCTAAGTTACAAAAATCATAAGTAATAAATAGGTGTAAAAGAAAAAAGTGCGTTTTTCATTGCGAACATTATCTTACTTTTTTTTTTCTTCGCACGCATATATATATATATATATATATATATATATGCCTGCGCGCGCGCGTGTGTGTGCGTGTGCGTGCGCGTGCGTGTGTGTGTGTTTGCGTGTGTGCGCGCGCGCGTGTTTTTGTTTAGTCAAATAAATAATGCGCAATTGTATTTTCTATACAATGAGTGTTCGTTCGATAGA